CCTCATTTAATCCTCTAGGGGACAACGTGTCTAGTGTATAAATCCAAAAGGCTTCGCGCTGTAAAAGCAATTTATTGATATCACCTCCGCGACGCGGACACTTCACTACTTCAATACCTATGTACTGAAGAGTGGAAACTGAGTGTCTTGAATCTGCAAAGTGCTGTGCTACCGGACTTTTTGGATCGCGATGTCTAATTGCACATCGATGTTCAGAGATGCGAGTTTTTAGAGGTCTGCTAGTCTTACCAATATAACATAAACCACAAGGGCAACGCAACAGGTAAATGACATTAGCCATCTTACATGAAATAGTGCCTCGAATTTTAAAAAATATATAATAAACGCTAGGTGGTTATTGATTTGTATTTATGTACCTAGGCAGGCATCAATTAATGTTATTAAACAATATATTGATAATTATATTCGTGTATTTTGCATAGCTTTATATGTTTTTGATTTATTTTTATTTCTTATTTTGGTTTCTATGTTTTTCTCCTTGGTTGATATGTTATTGTTTTGGTATTATTATCATCATGATAATATTGTACGGTCATGTGACCTTTGATCATCTGGAGGTAGGCCTATAAAGATTGGGATATCAGTGTTGTTCATTTGTCTGATGAAGAGCCTGCGTGCTAGAAAAGTCACATATGCTATGTGACAGTTTTTTTAAAAAATAAATTTTTTGATACTTTTGGAGCTTTGGTGTTGCCGACTTTACATCCAAAAATTTTCAAATCAGTATTTTAAAATGACTTCTGAAGGATCAAAAAGTCAGAGTCAAAGTTGGCATAACTAAAATAAATTACATTTTCAAATACATCCAAATAGAAAACAGTCATTTCAAAATTTAAAAATATTTCACAATATTAATGTTTTTACAGCCTTGGTGAGCATAACACACTTCTATCAAAAACATGATTGTTCTTTATTCTCTATTGTGACATATATCCGAGTGTAAATGTAGTGAATTTCATCTGCTACTTGAAAAGTCCTAAGCATTTTGTGATGGTCAAAATAAAAAAATGCTGCATGTGATGATTCAAAACACCAGAATCACCTGTTTGTCCTCCAAACTATCGGTCAAAAAAGTCATGATTTTTCAGTGAAGTACAGTCGCATCTCTTTGTTTGGCTGAACTGTGAATCACATACTGGTGTGCAGCCACACGTACCTCTGCGCTCTTCGTGGCTTTCAGAAGGTTTGCCACGCTCTCTTTAAACGAGTTGATGAGTAGTCGGCCCAGTTGCTCATACAGCACACCCAAACAGGCCACAGCTGCCCTGTAGGGAGCAATAAGTAAACTCACTGGCAGAAGATCAAGCTGAAGCCCATCTGCAGATTTATGACACTCACAGTCGAGTAGGCAGGAAGCTGGGCGAGTCGTCCTTGCTGCGGATGATGTCATTGCAGCGGTCCACAGTGAGGCTGGACGTGAGGGAGTCGCCCACTCGGTACACCAGCGCCAGACACTGTGCCAGCAGCAGTCGTGTCGGGGGGCCCGGAGAACCCGTCAGTACCGTCGTGAGCTGCTCCACCAGGCGCTTCTGGTTCTTTTTCACATCGGCCTGTCACACAAACACATGCCCGACATACTGTTTAGATGAGCGGCGCTCTTTAATTGCGGTTTCTTGGCACTTCACCAGTAAGAAACAGACAGACACATCACTAGTCCATTCCTGGCTGAGAGACAGCCGGTGGAAAGGCAGACAAATAACCAGGGAGTCTGTTCAGAGAGGCTTGCTTGTGTTTGTGTTTCAGAGAGAGAGAGAGACAGACAGAAGCGTTTCTTCTCAAACAGAGAGCTTATTGTCAGCGCCCTCAACTCACCCGGTCTGTGGCAGGGAGTAGTTTCTTGAGGAAACGCAGCCACTCGAAGACAAACTCAGCCCTCTGGTGCTCCTGTAGCTGATTGCAGGCTTCCTCGTTAAGCAATAAACTATGAGCCTGCTCCATCTTCCTGTCTCTTCTCCCGCTCTAGCTTTTCACCTGAAACCTCGACCGCAGCGCCACTCACATTCCAGATACCTTCATCCTCCCTGAAATAAACCACAAGTTTACAACTGGGGTTTTCGCAAGAGGTCCGTGGAAAAGTTTACAAAAAAAGTGAAAATAAATAAATAATAAAAATAAATATACAAGCAAACGAATAAACAATATTTTCTGGGGTTGTTTTTTCTTTTTTTCATTTTAGTTAAAGTTTTAGTATGTCTATTTAGTTTTGTACATTTTTACTTTAGTTATAGTTTTTGCTCTTTTAGTACATCAAGTTAAACTAAATGAAAAAGAAAAATGTTGCTGTGGCAAATAGCTGAAATAAAATAAATTTAAGGATTAATTTATTTCAGTAAATGTTTATTTTCTTTCAAGTAATGATCATTTTAAATGGTTTTAGTTAACTATAACAACCCTGTACAGCACTATGTTGATTAGGGAAAAAATAAAATTAATATAATGTAATAGAAACTACATTTTCAAATAACATTTTGCACATACTTATAATATGTATTTTTCACAGTACAGATAGGGTCTTAATACATGACAATATATACAGGTGCATCTCAATAAATTAGAATGTCATTGAAAAGTTCATTTATTTCAGTAATTCAACTCAAATTGTGAAACTCGTGTATTAAATAAATTCAATGCACACAGACTGAAGTAGTTTAACTCTTTGGTTCTTTTAATTGTGATGATTTTGGCTCACATTTAACAAAAATCCACCAATTCACTATCTCAACAAATTAGAATACTTCATAAGACCAATAAAAAAAAAAATGTTTGTGAATTGTTGGCCTTCTGGAAAGTATGTTCATTTACTGTACATGTACTCAATAGTTGGTAGGGGCTCCTTTTGCTTTAATTACTGCCTCAATTCGGCGTGGCATGGAGGTGATCAGTTTGTGGCACTGCTGAGGTGGTATGGAAGCCCAGGTTTCTTTGACAGTGGCCTCCAGCTCATCTGCATTTTTTGGTCTCGTTTCTCATTTTCCTCTTGACAATACACCATAGATTCTCTATGGGGTTCAGGTCTGGTGAGTTTGCTGGCCAGTCAAGCACA